ATCTGATCGAGGGGTTCAGGGTGGCTTATATACAGAATAACAGATACTCTGGGAGGGAGTTACAGACTGGAATCTATTTCAGGTTGTTAAAATGGATTATTTGTTGTGTGCAGAGGAATACTTTATCCCTGTCAGCTGCTTCCTTCTCTTTAATATAATGGACTGGGGAGGTCGGAGTCTCACTGCTTTCTGGTCCTGGGTGAGTTGAAATTGTTAAAATTTTGCTCTTTCTTTCGCTGTTCCTGTCTGTGTCTGTGTCTCTCTCTGTTCCCACACCCCACCCCCACCACCACAACTACCTCTACAATTATCTGTCTCCTCACCGCTCCTCCCCCACTCTCTCCCAGTCCTGCCCTCCCCCTCCCGGAGGTGTTCCACCTCCATCTCTTCTTCCCCCACTGTCTCCCATTCCCCCACCCCTCCGCTGTGCCCCACACTGCCTCCCTGTGAGCCCGGCGCTGCAGCAATGCAGCAGTAACGTTGTTGTGTCTGTCCATGTAGCCCCGCCAGGAGAATGTGTTGCTATTGATGGTGCTGCTGCGAATTTCCTTCATCCCAATCTTCATGCTGTGTAACATTAAGGATCGTTACTTCCTCCCCATCCTGTTCACCCACGACGCCTGGTTCATCGCCTTCATGTTCCTGTTCGCTTTCTCCAACGGTTACCTGGTCACTCTCTGTATGTGCTACGCCCCCAAGTAAGTGAACCTGACCCTCTGCGGGGGGGAGGAGGAGAGTGCGGGGTGCGCGCGGAGGGTGCACTGGGTGTGGTGGGGGGGGATACCAGGCTGACAGACCCTGCAGGGGGGGAGCTACGCTGACTGTGCGTAAGCACCAGCCACCAACCCCAACACACACCCCCACCCCCAAAAAAATACCAGAAGGAGGGGCACGTGCTGGGGATGTGGGCGCTAAGTAAAGGCAACTTTAGGAGAATGAGGCACACCCCCACCCTCCCGATCACGCTGATTTTGGAGGCGGGGGGGAGGGTGGTGGGGGACAGGGTGGGGTGCGGCCATTGGTGATGGCCTCATTTGAGGACACCCAGGTGTCACCCTCGGAGAGGTGGCTGGCTGGGCTGTTCGACTGTGGGGGTCGTGCTGTCGGCACTGCCAATGCATCCCCCTCTCACTTTTTCAAACCACAGCACCTCCTGTCTGGGCCTGAAGCCTGGGGCTTCGCTGCTGTGGTTGGGGGGGTCAGGGTGCTCAGTGCTGCCCCCACAGGCCCAGTGGAAATCCAGCCTGCGTCCTGGAGCTGGTTAGATTTTGATGATGCAGCGCTCCCCCCACCCAACAACTGTGGCTCAGCGAACCTCTCTGTTTCTTAACTGTTTCGACAGGAAGGTCTCTCCGAGGGATGCAGAAACAGCTGGGGCAGTGATGGCATTTTTCTTGGCTCTTGGCCTGGCGCTGGGAGCAGCACTCTCCTTTCCCATTCGCCTCATGTTATGAAGTGACTGGCACCAGGACCTACACAGACGTCCCCTGGAGATTCCTGCCTCCTTCCCTTCACCTGGTGCCAGGGTGAAGAATTGGCACCTTACTGGGACTGACTGGAATAGAAACCGGGAACCGGTCTGTTCACACACTGGACAAGCCTCCCTCTCTAACAGTCTCTTCTTTCGCTCTGATCTTTACATTTGTATACAATAGCTGTGCGCTGCCCCTGCTGTTCAATGCAAATCGATCCCTATATCTACGCCACACTGACTGCCTCCTCTCATCACTGGGACTGACCACTCCACCTCTCTCTTTCCCAATCCCTGCCCCCCCCCCCCAGCAACAACTAGTTTCTGACCAATCCCTCCCTCTCCTCCAGGATCACCTGGTTTCTGACCCATTTCCCCTTCTCCTGGACCAGGATTCCACCAATTTCTGTCCAATCTCCCCATCATGGACTGAATCTTGCAACAGCATCGGAAATATTTAAACCCGAAAAACCAAATGAGACTTGGGGTGTGTCAGTTTCTTGTTTATTCCTGTACGTATACCCATTCACGATGGTGTACACTACTGCATTTGTTAACATTATTTTATATAAGTATCTTTTTTTAAAATAAAAGTATTGAACGTTTGCACACTTTAAAACAAACAACAGTGTAGAGTCTGTTGTTCATTCCAAGCAAATACACATGACTGTGTTATCCAATCCAATCATTACATCTTCACCTATATTATCCAATCACAACATTGTCTCACCATTAAGCCAGGGGATCAACCCTGGTTCAATGGAGAGTGCAGGAGGGTGTGCCAGGAGCAGCACCGGGCATACCTGAAAATGAGGTGTCAAACTGATGAAACTACCAGACAGAACTACTTGCACACCAAACAGCGAAAGCAGCAAGTGGGCGGCATGGTGGCTCAGTGGTTAGCACTGCTGCCTCACAGCACCAGCAACCTGGGTTCGATTCCACCCTCTGGCGACTGTCAGTGTGGAGTTTGCACATTCTCCCCGTGTCTGCGTGGGTTTGCTCCGGTTTCCTCCCACAGTCCAAAGATGTGCAGGTTAGGGTGGATTGGCCGTGCTAAATTGTCCCATAGTGTCCAGGGATGTGTAGATTACAGGGGAATGGGTCTGATGTTCGGTGGGGACTTGTTGGGCCGAAGGGCCTGTTTCCACACTGTAGGGATTCTGTGATAGACAAAGCTAAGCGATCCCACACCAATGGATCAGATCTAAGCTCTGCAGTCCTGCCCCATCCAGTCATGAATGGTTGTGGACAATTCAACAACTCACTGGAGGAAGAGGCTCCACAAATATCCCCATCCTCAATGACAGAAGAGCCCAGTACATCAGTACAAAAGATAAGGCTGAATTATTCGCAGCAATCTTCAGCCAGAATTGCCGAGTAGATGATCCATCTCGGCCTCCTCCCCAGCATTACAGATACCAGTCTTCAGCCAATTCAATTCACTCCACATGATATCAAGAATGGGTGGAGACACTGGATATGGGCCCTGACAACATTCCGGCAATAGTACTGAAGACTTGTCCTCCAGAGCTTGTCGCTCTCCGAGCCAAGCTGTCCCAGTACAGTTACAACACTGGTACCTACCCGACAATGTGGAAAATTGCCCAGGAATATCCTGTACACAAAAAGCACGGCCAATTATCACCTCATCAGTCTCCTCTCGAACATCAGTAAAGTGATGGAAGGTGTCAGTAACAATGCTATCACACATAACCTGCTCAGTGACGCCCAGTTTGGGTTCTGCCAGGGCCACTCAGCTCCTGACCTCATTACAGCCTCGGTTCAAACACGGACAAAAGAATTCCAGAGGTGAGGTGAGAGTGACAGCCCTTGACATCAGGGATGCATTCGACCGAGTGTGGCATCAAGGAGCCCGAGCAAAACTGGAATCAATGGGTATCGGGGGCAAATGCTCCGGTGGTTGGAGTCATACCTGACACATAGGAAGATGGTTGTGGGAGGTCAGTCATCTCAGCTCCAGGACATCTCTGCGGGAGTTCCTCAGGTTAGTGTCCTCGGCCCAACCATCTTCAGCAGCTTCATCAATGACCTTCCCTCCATCATAAGGTCAGAAGTGGGATGTTCACCGATGATTGTACAATGTTCAGCAACATTCGTGACTCCTCAGATACTGAAGCAGTCCATGTTTGAATGCAAAAAGATCTGGACAATGTCCAGGCTTGGGCTGACAAGTGGCAAGTGACATTCATGCCACACAAATGCCAGGCTATGACCATCACCAATAAGAGACAATCTCACAACTGTACTTTGGCATTCAATGGTGTTACCGTCACTGAATCCCCCACTATCAACATCCTGGGGGTTACCATTGACCAGAAACTCAACTGGTCTCACCACATAAACACAGGGGGTACAAGAGCAGGTCAGAGGCTGGGAATTCTGCAGCGAGTAACTCATCTCCGGACTCCCCCCAAAGCCTGTCCCACCATCTACAAGGCACAAGTCAGGAGTGTGATGGAATACTCCCCACTTGCCCCTGGATGGGGGCAGCTCCAAGAACACTCAAGAAGCTCGACACCATCCAGGACAAAGCAGCCCCCGCTTGATTGGCACCACATCCACAAACATCCCACTCCCTCCCCCCACTGACGCTCAGTAACAGCAGTGTGTACCATCTACATGGTGCTCTGGAGAAATTCACCAAAGATCCTCAGGCAGCACCTTCCAAACCCATGACCCACTTCCATCCAGAAGGACAAGGAGCAGCAGATACATAGGAACACCACGCCCTGCATTTCCCCTCCGAGCCCCTCATCATCCTGACTTGGGAATATATCCCCGTTCCTTCAGTGTGGCTGGGTCAGAATCCTGGAATTCCCTCCCTAAGGGACATTGTGGGTCAACCCATAGCAGATTGTTCAAGAAGGCAGCTCCCCACTCCCCCCCTCCCCCCACCTTCTCGTGCAAGATATGCTTCCCAGCCAGTGACACCCACATCCCAGAAATTAATAGAAAAAAAATTTCAACATCTACTACTGTGAGCACACCCTTTGAGATTATCAAAAACTTTAAAGTTTTGGCAAAGATCTGTAGCTCGGGTTGTGGGTGAGGTTGTTGAGTTGGCTTGTTTTTATTCAGACGTTTCGTCACCAGGCTAGGTACCAGGCTAGGAGCCTTCGACTAATTTGTATTCCAATATAAATTCCAAGTGGAGTAGAATAACATCACTTCATCGGGGGTTCTGCGATGATGTCACCTAGCATGGTGACGAAACGTCTGAACAAGAACAAGCCAGCTTGGCGAGCAAGTCAACAACATCACACATATCAAAAACTCTTTCCTGTCCTTTATCCCCACTTTCTGTACCCCACCCCAACCACTTTTGGCCCTTAGCTGATGCCAAATCTAGGTATTGAGGAGGCCTCCATATCCCATCAGATTGCTAAACTTCCCCAATGTATAGATTATTTTTCACCCCAGCTCTTTCTCCCCACTCTCCTGGGTGTGTAATGGCCCCTGTTTTGTCTTCCTGTCATACACTTCTCTGATTATGGCATTATCCATACTAACACCAGCTAGGTCCAGACTGGTGCCCCTCTCTGAAGAACCCCCACCCCCCTACCACATCTTATACCAAGGCTGATCTTGCCAACTTGATATCGATCAGGTGGGTTGTAAGATTCACCGAATACATCCTTGACTGTGTGTAAATACTGACTGGCATACTGCTGTCCAGCCTTGGCACAGACGGTGAGAGGTGTACAGCACAGGGAAAATATCCTTTCAACCCCTTCAGTCTACTCTAGTCCAAAACAGCCACCTAACTATAATCCCATTTCCCAGCACTTGGCTCATAGCCTTGTATGTTTCAGCATTGCTAGTGCACATCAAAATCCTTCTTCAATGTCCTGAGCATTTCTGCCTCTATCACCCTTGCAGGCAACAAGTTCCAGATTCCTTACCACCCTCTGAGTGAAAAAGGTTTTCCTCATATCCCCTCTAAACTTCCCGCCCCTTACCTTAAATCTATGCCATTCGGTCACTGGTCCCTTCAAGGGGATATGTTCCTTCCTGTCTACCTTATCTGTGCCCCTCATAATGTTATCTATGTCAATCATATCTCCCCCTTCCAACTTAATCTCCTCTGTTCTAAGGAAAACAACTCCAGGCATAGAGACATGCAGCGTGGAAACCGAACCTTCACTCTAACTCGTCCATGCTGACCAGATAGATGGGTACATGAATACGAAGGGTTTAGAGGGATATGAGCCATATCCCTCTAAACCCTTCAGACTGGGCAACATCCTGGTCAATCTCTGCACCCTCTCCAGTGCTATCACATCCCTCCTATGATGCAGATTCCAGAGCTGCACACAATACTCTAGCTGTGGCCTAACCAATGTTTTATACAATTCCAGCATCCCACCTACATCCTCCTATAACCTCAGGCTGACCTCCTCACTGTTTATCACCTACTTTATATCATCTTCAAACTGACTGATCAACCTTCCAACATTGAAGCCGAAGTCATTTATATATACCAGAAACAGCAAGGGCCCCCAGCACTGGTCCACGTGGAACTCCATTGGACACCATGCTTCCAGTTACAAAAACACCCTTTGTCCATCATCCTCTTCTTTCTGCCACTCAGCCAATTCTGGATCCAACTTGCCAAATTCCCTATGGATCCTATGGCTGTTTGCTATCAGTTTCCCAGCCAGGACCTAAGCAAAAGCCTTGCTGAAGTCTATGTACATTACATCAAAAGCACTGCCCCCGTCTACTCACCTGATCACTTCTTCAAGCTGGTCAGACATGACCTCCCTTTACAAATCCACACTAGGTTGTAGACTTGCTCCCCGAGCCGGTGGGTTTGAATGCAGACGTTTTGTCACCCTGCTTGGTAACACCGTCAGTGCGTCTCCTGTGAAGCGTCGGTGCTCTGTCCTGCTTGTTATTTCTATGTCTCGGTTTGCTGGGATGGTTGGTATCACTTCCGGTTCTGTTTCTCAGTGGTTTGTATATCGGGTCCAGTTCAATATGTTTGTTGTTGGAGTTCCAGTTGGAATGCCAGACCTCCAGAAATTCCCTGGCACGTCTCTGTGTGGCTTGTGCTATTATGGATGTGTTGTCCCAGTCAAAATAGTGTCCTTCTTTGTCCATGTGTACACAGGCCAAACAGGAAGAAAACTGACAATAAGGATACACAAACACCATCTAGCCACCAAGAGACACAATCAATTCTCACTGGTCTCAATAAACACGGACAAAGAAGGACATGAATTTGACTGGGACAACACATCCATAATAGCACGAGCCAAACAGAGACGTGCCAGGGAATTCCTGGAGGCCTGGCATTCCAATCGGAATTCCATCAACAAACACATTGAACCGGCCCTGATATACAAACCACTGAGAAACAGAACCAGAAGTAATGCCAACCACCCCAGCAAACCGAGGCATATAAATGAGCACCGATGCTTCACCGAAGGTGCACTGACGATATTACTGAGCAGGGTGTCGAAATGTCTGCAACCAAACCCACCGGGCTCGGTGAGCAAATCTCCAACCTCATCCACAACCCAAGCTACAAATCTTCTCAAAATCTTTAAATCCATACTAACTGGTCTTGATTAATCCCTGTCTCTCCAAATGCAGA